AGAAGTGACCTTCTGAAGGAACTCTTTCCATCTAGAATCATCTCTCAAAATATCCAATTATACCTTTGTGAACTCAATAAGATCCATTGCATTTGGGGTAAGTCCTTTGCAATAAAGTCCTCAAATATATTGTACCACTCTTTTTTCATGTTTGAGACCTAAAATTAAAATAGGAAATAATAAATTTGGGGACTAAGTAATTTTGGGGTAAACTAGACCAAGGGACTAAGTAATTTGGGGACAAACTCAGGTCAAGTGATTCACCAATTGCTATGCCTAATACATTGAATGGGAAATTGGGAATCCAAGAGAGTAGTAGACTTAACTTGAACTTACAAATTGTGATTTAGAAGGAGAGAACTTCCCTCATCGGTGCGTTGCGGTGCTCTACCGCTAGTCGCTCGTTTGCTCACACTGTCCTATGCGAGCACATCGTGGTTGCAACACTTGGGCGACTAGCGCCATCCTGGTCTTGGCTGCCCTGACTCCCTCGCTGGTAGGGGCTGCTCAAAGTGCAGGCGGAGTCCGTCAACCGCCCTACCACCATCGTGCCACCTAGTCGTCCTCACCCACCAAGCCGATGCTAGGGTTTGGGATTGGGGAAAAGAATACTATTCAGGAGGAGGGAGGAGCAGAAAATGATGACTGCGAGGATGCGAGTTAGTAGACGCCGATGTCTCCTAGTGTAGGTGTGGTGAGGGGAAATTTGGGATGTTGGGCCTTATTAGGCCTTCAAGTAGGGAGGAAAAGGAGTAGGAACATGTGTTTTTGGACTGGTTGCTGCACATGCTATTTAGTTTGGCTGTATTTTCTTTTTTTCAATATACACACACGTATACACTCAGATATATGATTTTTTTATTAAATATTTTGGGTATTCAACTAAATACCATTGAATACTAGTGGGCTCGCCCTTGGGCATACGAGTTCTCATCATGAATTTATTTTTGTAATCCATTGAATTCTCATCTCATATGTGAAGCTCCATCTATTCTTGTACCTAAGCCTAGCAATAGAAACTCCATCTATTCTTGTACCTTAAGCCTAGCAATAGATAATCCATACTTAGAAATCATCTGAAGTAAAATTTTCCATAGTGCAATTTATGTTATGTCCTCCACATGCTCAAGACCCAAAAACCTTTCTATATCCATTCCTTTTTATTCACAAACAAGTGGATGACATTACACAATGATGTCAGTAATAAAAGTCCATTGATAATGAAACTATTTAATTAAAAGTGATATAGAAACAAACCTCACAATCACAACATTTGCTTTACTATTGAGATATCATGAGATTTCATCAATAACAAAACAAATAAAAGATTATCCCTAATCTCTTTTTTATCCCTTTTACTAGTTGCTTTTGCACAACTTTTTGCAAGGTCCTTCTGAATCTGGTGAGAAGGACATTATTCATCAAATGTAGCCCTCACCACATCTTTTCTTTTCTTGTACCAGTATAGCATCTCTAGGAAATTCCCTTTGTTTAAGGAAAATTCAAATTCATTGTGTCCTCATAAGTCATAATGCATGACCTTGGGCATGGAGAGAAATCTTGCAAAGTCTATAGCAACGATGACACGAATCTCATATCGCTTCTCAGCATTTATAGTATTGGACTCAAACTTATGCGAGATACTTGTCCTTTGATTACTAAAGTCATCAGCACATTACATTGCCTTTTTGTGGCAACCACCAATAACACAACAACAACAACAACAATTAGGAAATTGTCTATTTGTCACATTCTTCCAATTAGTATACCTTGTGTTAGTAAAAACAACATGACCAAGCTTTCCAAGCTTGGCTTCTTTCCTAAAAAGAAAATAATGTAATCTATAGGCTTCATCCTTTGACACACTATATTCCAATCAATCATAATCATCAAACCATGATGCTCAAAAGACCATAAAAAATCTTGTGAAGAAATGCATGGCCTAGGTTGGGTTGGACCCTTCAACGAATAAAGCCTCTTAGCATCAGATCTTATGTTAGGATGAAATCTATTGACTGGTATTTAAAGTAGGATCATCAATACCATGAACATTTGGATCAATAATTCCTTTATACGTAACATCAATACCTCCATTTTCTTCTGTCCTGTTCTCATCTAATGCAACTTTGACAACCATGAATTCCACATTAGTGTCAATTTGACTTCATGGGTACTTTTTATGAAGAGAAACTGTGGAGCAAAGCTCCCTAGCACCGAACAATATGTTAAAAAATGAAATAGAAGTTACAGGGTTGTTAGCTAGGAGCTAACAAAAGGACAAACCGCACAAACCATACAAGGAGGAAAAGAAACTACCAAATTATAGAGATGCTAGCCATTGAATAATTACACGATGGTGACTGGGGTTAAAGCGACATAAGTGGAGCTTAACCTCACTTATAAAACGTTGCTTCCAAGCCGAAGAGAAGGGACCTTGTGGTTGAATATGTAATCGTTGTGTTCCTTCCAAATGCACCAGGCACCGATCATAAAAAATCCATGAAGAAAGGTATCTGGAGCTGAGCATTTTTCTGCGCTATCATCTGACAAATGCTAACCTGAACCTCCCACTGAATGCCGAGGATGAACCATCTAGTTGCACTTGAAGTACATTCAAAAAAGAGATGCAAAGTTGTCTCCTCAATATCATCATGACATATAACACATGTATAGCCCTCATCTAAGTGTTTACCTCTTCTTCTTAGAATGTACTTGGGCAGGATGACGATCCCAAGGCAACACTCACACTTGAAAAAAAGGAATTCAAATATACACCCATACACAATACAAGTAAAATATCAATTATCACATTTCTAATAAAATGATAAATGCTAACGAGTCATTGTGGTTACTTGGTTTACCTCTTGTTACCATTTTTTGTTGTCAATTTCCCAACATAGATGTCAATCGATTGTCCCTCTCCCTCAACTTCAAGCTTAGCACCAAAGACACTTGTCCAAGGTCATGGCCAAGACCAGCAGACCACCAGCGTGGAGATCGAATCCACGCCGTCGATGCCGCCCACTCCCTTGTCTCCACCATCCCTTACCCCTCCATAACTACAGAGGCATAGAGAATCGTAGAGAGACAGAGTAGATGAGGTGGTGGTGGTGGTGTGTGGTGGCTGGAATGCTTTTAGTGGTGTGTGGTGAACTGGTTGGTAGGTGGTGCCCAAGACTTGGCAAAGCTAGTGTGTTACGCCACCACCCCTCAAGACTCATAATTGTCAGCGCTAGACAACAAGTGAAACAAAGATTGAGATTGTGAGGGCCCATTGTTATTGTTGCATGTAGAGCTAGTATGAATGCTGGTTGCGTTGCATGTTGTCGTGTTGGGCTTGGGGACTTGAGCCATGGACCATGGCCACGATAGGCAGTCGCAGTGCTTATTGTTCCGTCTCGCCGTCTTCTTCCTCTGGATGCCACGCAAACACATATATAGAACCAAAGTTCCCATGAGTGTTTCGTGTCTCTCATAGTGTTGATTAGTTTCAATTGAGCTTAGATACACCTACAATCATAATGATTTGTATTTTGTCGTTAGTAGGACATACCTATATATACTTAGTTTTGAAATACAAAATGAAATTCAAAACCTATCTAAAGTCCACTTGATGCTTTTCCTTTGGAATTGGTAGGTTTCATGAGTCAATTTGTCTCTTATACATGTTTAAATATGTACATCACTTGATAAAATTCACTAGTTATTAAGTTGTTTGTCGTGAATACACCATAAAATACATTGAAGAAATTATCATAGGTTTTGTATCTTTCAACATAGGAAGCACATATTTATAAAAACAAGTGCCATGGACTACCCTTACATCAAATCCATGGGGTCAACAAACAAGTGTCAATAGGATATATAATACACGATAATATGTCAAGAACATCACACAATAAGATAAAAAAAACATTACACCAATGCATAGCATCGCATATCATGGCAATGTCCAAGTACTAGCATCACACATATCTGTACATAATTTTAAAATTTCACATCTAACTTAGCACCACCACACGAAGTTCATCACATCACAAACAGTCACACACATACTTGTCCATACCAATTAGGCATAGTTTTATCACAGCTGAGACACATCTACATACTGTTGGACTCATTTTGGTGGCATTATTGACCATATTCATACGCTAACATGCCACTTGCCTCTTGAAAAGTTGAAATAATTTCACATTCGATATTTTGGAGTGTATTGAAAAATGACATGAAATTTGAGGCCAAGGGACAATCTTGGAAATGGTATACATGGGCATAGACTTAGGATGATCCAATAAGAAAGAATGAGAAAGATGAACTTGATCCGGCCCAAAGTCCCACAGGAACAACAGATCTCTATGGGCCATATCTCCCTCATCCAGAGTCTGAATTGGATGAATTTGGTATGCAAATTTCTAACCTTAGGAAGATTTCAACAATTTTTCATTGTCACCTCAGCCATTTGAGTCCAATTTAGAGTGGGCCAACAGCCCCTAAGGCCCAAGGTGTGTTAGACCAAGCACAAAAAAGCCCAGCTTTCACCGATGTCGTAAGTTTCATATTATGTAATGAAGAGTGTTGTAAAAGAAAAGGTGCAATGGAAGAGTGCATATCAGTTGGGAGCGACCGTAAGGAGGAAGCACAGAAACTCCCTGAAGCTCACAAAACGACTCTGTGAATAAGCTTGATGTAGGGTACCCTACTACCGATTATGGGGGCATGGACCCTAACCCAAGTTTGGAAGAAGCATCCGATCCTTCCTTACTTTCCTTGGCAAACCCAATTACCCAAACCTAGCTTGCACTTGCAGCCGTGTGCATGTTGCACGTCAGAGCATGTACCCTTGCATGGCTTATTCTCTCCTCTCATACATAACAATCCTTTCCTTGTGAGCCGGACATGCATCGCCTGCTCGACAAAACTCCAAGGCGTATAAGACGCCTGCAGCACGTCCATTTCAATTTTCACATTCAGACGAGACCCTTCTCAGTTCACCTGTCTCCATGGACTCAACCCTGCCTCGTCTTCTTCCTCCTCTCCCATCGGTTCGTCACCAGCACCGTCCGCACCATCCCAATACTGTTCCAAGACGTCGCGATGGCCCCGGCGGTGGTAGCAGCAGGATGCTGCCGGCGGCGCGTGTCAAGACGGACCGACGAAGACGAGACGCCGGTAGATTCCGCGCCCAAGGGCTGTTCGGCGACGGCGGCGGCGGAGACGGGCTACGGACCGTGATGAGGATGGTGAAGCTCAACTCGGCCATCCAGAACCGAAGCGTACGGGAGCTCCTCGAGCTGCTCGGCGACGAGTGCCTCTACTTCTTCGGTAACCTCCGCTCCGTTGATGTTCCGCAGCTGGGCAAGGTAAAACGAGCTGAGATTTTTGTTTGAGGTTTTCCAACAGCTCAATCAAAAGTCCTGCTAAGCGAAGCTAAAACCAAGCCAAAATCAATGAAGCCGAAACCATTTCGTCTAGAAGACGAAGCCACAAAAACATTGTTTTCTGGCTTCAGTATTTTTAGAGAAGTCTAAGCCCTGCCAAAGAGGATCTAAACTTGTAATCCTGAACGATATAGCATGCCTGCAATCCTGCAGTTTTTGACCCGGCCGTGACGACGTTGTTGCAGGACATGTTCCTGCTTCTCCACGCGCTGATGGTCCGGCACCAAGTGTCGTTCGTGCTCAAACCGTCGCCGAACGAAGCAGGCTTCGACCTGGGCCTAAAATGGTCTCTAGGTCAGTCAAAACAACACTTGAAGTTCTCAGTTTCAGCATGACAGCATGGGCTAGGAAACTGAACCGTTTGCTCTCTGCAGAATGGAAGGGGAAGAAGCTGCCTTGGGACCTCGACTGCAACGTCTCCACTAGCCACGTCTACCGGGGCCTCCTGCTCATCAGGTAACAAAATTCCTAGCGTCTGGTTTAACTGAAACCCTGGGTAAGTTTACTGGTGTTTACCGTCTATTTTGTCCCGTAAAGACCATATGTTTCGCATACTTGCATATGCAGCAATCTCACGTCTAGGGATTAGGGTAGTTGCAGGGTCAAAGAATCGACTGAATCGCGTTTGTTTTCCTGCTGGTGCAGCCAAGTGAACAAGATCTGCGTGCCACTGCTTCAGAGGATTCTTGGGACCATCCAGCAGGCAAGCATCATGCGTGCATGGCAAACAGATAACAGATTCTGAAACAAAGTTACCACTGATGTACTCCCTGTCCCCTAAAATTGTTGATACTTTAGCTATGATGAACCTGAACAAATGTCTGTCCAGACCCATAACTAAAGTGTCAACTATTTTGGGACTGAGGGAGTAGCAATGACAAACTTGTTTCCAAAAGACTAAACAGTTTTTGATTTTTATCATGACTGCAGAATCTGGACGCGGTAATTTTGACCATCGTGCACAAGGTCCTGCCAGAAGGTACACTTGACGAGAAGAAGAGCAGCACGATCGTTTTCTGCGTCATCATCGGCCTCCTGGTCATGATACTGTTCTACGCATTGTTCAAGAACTTGTAGGGTTCATCATCATCACCAGGAGAACAAGAAACAAGCATCATCTAGCGTTGTACAGTTGCAGGATCTTGTAAATGGTCTGCATCATTGCAGAAACAGAAATACCAAATTCTGGAACATGGCCAGCCATGATGCACAGTAGTTGTTTGTTATAAACAACTACTGTCCATAAGATGGATATGATGATACAGGGTTGAAGAAAAAGGATGAACATTCAGGATAACGATCTAAACTGTATAAGTTAGGTATCACCTACAACATAACATTGGGGGGTACAGATGTCTTGAGTCAACTTAGGACACTAGCAATGCAAGAGGCTTCCAGGTTAGCTAACGAGAAAGCGACTTCTTACCAGAAAACGCACCTAGGGTTGCTGAATTTACATCAGGCAAAGTACATCAGCTCTCGCTGTCCTTTTAAACTTCGCATCCAAGCTGCTCCCTATTTAACAAACTAGAAAGTCAGATGGACTACTATGTCTCACTAGATAATATGCCACAACTGCCATTCCCTTTTCCTTGCTACTGTAAATCAGTCTTGACCAATATGGAAGATACAACACTTTGAGCGGATTTCTTGTCCTTTCATCAGTGCCTACTACCAGGATGTTAGCCCAACTGAATCCAGAAAATGTCTCACCTGCAGCCAACAGCTAAACAATCACATATTCCTGCATTACCATATGACATCAAAACTGCATAATGTAAGAGGTCTACAGAGTGAAAATAAAATGACTAAATTTTGTTAAGTCAAAACTTTACAGTACCAATTTGACTGCTATCAGTAGACTCCTTTTACTAGTGCAACATATTTAAAAGGGGGCAAACCAGGACCCAAAAGCAAACAACTGAAAGAGGATGGATGTTCTCCAACAAGTACTGCTAGGCAGGGAAGCATATTTGACTTAATATTACATAAGCATGCTATTAAGAGAAAGTCTGATAACTAACCAGTCAGATCTTGGTAGATTGCTTGTAAAGGTGTTCTGAAAGCAACTCAGAGACACCATGAGCAGTAAGACTATCACATCCAAAGAGTTGTTTAAGTTTCGAAGTCGATAGTATCACTGTAGGATTCTCTGGATCCTGTAACCATAACAAGAGAAGAAAACCAATCAGACTACAAACCTGTTTGCGCTTATGCAGACACCAGACGGTTATACAAGTACCTATAATCTGTTTTTACAGAAAATATACAACAACAACAACATAGCCTTTCAGTCCCAAGCATGTTGGGGTAGGCTAGAGTTGAAACCTACCAAGATCCCCAAGTCACGGTTCAGGCACTTCAATAGCTGCTTTCCAAGTACTCCTATTCAAACATAGATCTCTAGGTATTTTACAGAAAATATACCCAAGAAAAATAGTTAACTAATGAAGCAAACCACAAATATGAACGGAGGCAATTCACATGGCAGCAAAACAAAAAAGGAAAACAGAAAGGGCAGGCGAAAATAGAAGGATGCATTATACTACACCATAGACAAAAGTAGATTTCTGCAGTACAGTAGACAATAATACAAGTCACCTATTGCTTATGTTCAGATTTATCATTACTGAAATGTTAGGTGGCAAAATCATTGCTGGTAAATTACGTATGAAAACACCAAAGGAAAAGATGGGCTTATATGGAACACGCTTTGCTTATGCTTCACTCTTGTCATAGGTCAAAAGGGTAGGCAAAAACCAACTTGCAAAAATAATGATTCCCATATATCGTCATGGTGTTATAGTATATTGAAAAGTACACTGACCCCATTTAATAGTTCAAGTTCAAAACTTAAACCACATGTGAAATATATACACTCGGTAACATGTATCTAGAAACAACCACTGTACGCATCTAGTTGATCAACCAACAACTACCATGCCACCAACCAGACTCAAATCTGATAGAAAATAGAAAGCAAGAGATCTACCAAGTAAGAAAAACAGATATTGACCAAGCAGGGTGTCCAACGGTTCAACTAACAAAAATTGTCATGAATTAGACAAGTTTTCATGTATGACATCAGTTTAAAGCACAGGGAATGCAGTTACAGGTTACCAATATTGATGCATTTACATTTTCATCCCAAAAGAAATAGTAAGCCAACTTTCTGAAATCAAACATTATGCCCCTTTTTTCTACACAGATATTCTGGTACTATAAAACAGAGATAGACATTTCTTTTGGCCTTCTTTAGTTTCCCAAGGTTGGACAAATTACTTGCAAAGCCCACTTGGAGTTTAATACTTTAATATTGGACCCAACATTTCAAAAAGGAATAGTAGCACATAACAGTTCTGATAGTAATCATCCAAACCTCTAAATTATTGCTTTTAATGTGATCCCAGACACGCTTAACAGCCTCAGAATGGACCATTTCTCTTTCTCCCGTACCAAAAAAGGTAGCAAGAGCATCAGAAACCGTAAGGGGAAATTGGTTAACATCAGTTTCAACCGAAGGAATTGGTTCACCACCCTCTGGCTTCAATTTCTTTGCTGCTCGTTTCGAATCATCTGCAAGAATTTGGACCACAGGTTCAGTACACAAGATATGATTGTTTTGTAAAGAAGTAGATATGGTGTGTCAGGAGAAACACCTACTTTTACTCTCCAGAGGACGTATATGCTTAGATAGAAGCTTATTCATCTGGAACATGTCTGTGCTATCAGTCTCAAAAACTAATCGGAGCTCATCATTGCATATAATCTTTCTCTTATTGTTAGGATCCTGCAAATTGTTCCTCTAATGTATCCTTCCCAAAGCTGCTTAACAATCTGCATTGATTAACAGTGTCAGGTTCCCTGCCATAATGTAAACATGTAGACAAGGCATTAGAAAGATGTGCTAGATAGACTGGACCTCAGTTCTAGCCATGGCTGGTTCACCAACGATAGCTTGCAGCTCTGGAGACACACCACAGACTTTGTTTAACCCTCCAGGACCACCTCTTCGTTTTGCTCCAGCACTAGCACTGCTACATTGCCACAACAAGAACAGCGAGTTCAGTGAACAGGCTCAACTCAGCCGACGGTGACAATTGAGAACAGGGGACATATCCATATCTTATTCCAACAGAGTGAAGTGAGGGTAGAGATTTATATCAGGAACATTGTCACATGCAGAAGAGTTTGGTGTTTGCAGAATAGTAGTACGGATTTAGTACATAAAAAGTGCCATAAATTCCTTTCAAGTGAATCGACATAGCAAACAGAAAGGTTCCTTTCTAGTTCCAGCAAGTTGTACCTAAACGTAGAGCCCACTCTGCAAATCAAATTGGCAGTTATGGATAAGCTTCTTTGTTTGAAGCCGGTTGCTTGAAAAGCAAACATTTTGATGGGATTGAGTGAATCCATTTCAATGTTAATGACCTCATGGGATTTAATTCTGCATGAATGGTTGACATGACTACGGGAGCATTCAAAGGTTTTCACAGGTACACTCGCAAGATGATTGCCTCCCCTAAGCTTGGAACCACGGGGCATTAAATGTCTAGTACAAGTAGAAATGGCACCACAAAATTTCTCAAATGAACCAACTGGAGCGCTTGAAAACAAATTCCTTCCACTTCACCCAACCCCACTAACCATATCCTGATATAAAATATTTCTGTCCACCAGAAACAATCAAGCCCAAATCCGTACCACTACAAGCCGTGTGACCACCAAAAAAACATGTAAGCTTTTCCAGTTAATCCCACCTCAAATCACCAAACAAATCTAGAAAGGGGAAAATTTTCGATCCTAGAGGTTTAGGAGCTTCGCTTCGCGTAGAAGCTACTCTACCTAACTGAATGTAACCGCACGAGACACGCGCATCTAGCATCTAAGTGGATGCTCCAAACCCTAACTCTAAGGGGGGAATGATGGGGAACTAAGAGTGCAGGAAGTGTCACCTGTCCTTCTTGGAGCCAGCCGGCGCCGGTGCCGGCTCCCGCGCACGGGGGCTCTCCGCCGGAGTGGGTGCCGCTGCAGCCGCCGCTCTCGCCGCGGCGGCCAACTGCTGTTGCTGTAGCTGAACGAGCCTCTGCAGCTGCGCCTGGTCGGCCTGCGGGAAGGGCTGGTGCCCGTAGCGGTACGACGCGGGGACGTCGAACGGCGAGGGAGGCGCGCCGGAACGTTGGTGCTGCTGATACTGCTGCGGGGCGGAGAGGAAAGACTGCATCTGGTGCTGGTGCTGCTGCGGGAAGAAGTGGGGAACGGCGGGCGACGGGGCGGGGGCCGACGACGCGACGGCGGAGGTGGAGAAGGGCAGCTGCTGCGCAGGACCCTCGGCGCGGGCCCCGCCGCCGCCGCCGCCGCCGGCGGTTGCGGGGTCGAAAGGGTCCTTCCGCGAGGCCGCGTGGTCCGGCGCCGGCGCGGCGGCGGGGCCGAGGAGCGCGACGAGGACGCTGCGGATGAGCTGCGCCTTGGGGGAGAGGTCGACGCCGAGCTGCGCCCCGAGCTGGCGCACCACGGCATCCGCCGATATCCCGGTGCCGCCCTGCGCGGCGGTGTGCTGAACGAGGGACTCCACGTACTGGGCCAGCTCCTGGTCGGACAACATCGGGGCTGGCTCGGGGCGGGGAGGAGGGGAAGGCCTGGCGTTTCCTCCCTCGTCGGTGGCGGCGGCGGCGGAGGTGCGCCTCGACGCCCTTTTGAAAATTGAAACGGGTAGGGGGGGATGCGGGATCCCTCGCTGCGGACGGAGGCGCGTTTGGGTTTCGTGGGGTGGTGGTGGGCGGGCGCTCGCGGTGGTTCGGGCGCCTTCACGCTCGGCTTGGTGGTTTTGTGGTTTCCGCCGCTGGGCTTGCGGCTTCCGGTCCGGGTGGGGGGATGGGGATAAAGACGAAACGAGGGGCGCTTTTGCGATCCAGCACCTCGGATCTTTTATGGCTCCAAGATTGGGTGCCCGTGTACCTGTTGGAAATTTTGGGTTTTAGGGAGAGAATAACCTAGTAGTGGACTGGACTTTTTTTTTAAGGCAAAGTGGACTGGACTTTGATATAACCTCAAACATATAGAAATCATTGAGACTCTTATTTATATCCACTGGTTTACAATAAACTAAGAGTAGACTTGAATATAACTTCTAATCATTAAGGCTCCAATTGTATCCACTAGTTTAGAATAACCTAGGAGTGGACTTGAGTATAGCCTCAAATGAAAAATCAACGAGACTCCGGTGTGTATCCACAAGTTTGGAATAGCCTAAGAGTGAACTTGTGTATAACCTCAAATGACAAGTAAGTGATACTCCAGTGTTTATCCACTAATTTAGTTTTATGTAGTGGGTTCTGTCTTGTCCATGGTAAAATTAACTCATGATTAAATTCATAAAGCGTCTAAGAAGTATTTGTGTCGTTTCAAGGGTTAGAAATCAGCAAGTAGATATAGATATGTGATTTTGGAGGGGAGTATGCAGTCGAGGAAGGATGGATATCGCATGGTCGAGGTGGATAGGTAAAGAGGATAGGGAAGGTGGGACGTTGCATGGCTTGTAAGTCATGCTGAAACGGTTGTCATGCACAAAGTAACGCCAATGATGCACAGAGGGACATCATACTTGCACTAACAAAAAAAAGTTTTTTTCGTAAATTGATCACGTTATGTTTCATTGTTATCCGAGACCTGTAACACGATTTAAGGATGGTTACTTTAGCACATAATCAATTAAAATCCGGACAACAAAATGGTAAAATGACCGTTGTGATTTCTCGAGAAGAAGTAGACCAATCACCAATGCGTGCCTTGTCGAGACAGGAGCGAAGCCAGCACATAACTATTGATATTATTAATATCGTTCATTGTATTATTTAAAAAGTAATATGATATGGCACTAAAGCTTGACATATAAACTTAAAAATAGTATGTGATACGATATGGCACTAAAACTTAATGTATATAAGCTTGCATGCCATGGTTCGAAAGGTAACTAAGGGCGTTTTTGGTACGCGGCCTGAAGCCAGCCAGACCAAGGTCAGCCACAGCCGGATTGAAACGGTGCAAGGCCCCTTGTTTGGTTCCCTATACCAAACGGACCAGGCCCAGCACAGATTGTGTTTGATTCCACATCAGGGAGTCAGGCCCAAGGCCCACTACCTCAACTGCCATTTCGAGATCCTGTTTGATCCCGGCCAGGCCCAGCAATCATGGAGAATAGCACAGAAATGAACAATAGATAGGAGATATGTAAGAGTAATCCAACATCATCTAACCAACCGACCTTAGACAAATTAGGTAATTGACCATGGAGTCATAGCTACTCTAACTTTACAAAAGCAATGAAGCAAGGCAAAATAACAACATCAACGGACTAATTAGTAAGTAGCAGTCTTTGAACAACACATAGGAGATAGGTAACAGAAATGGATGACAGAAATTAGTAAGACACAGTAGCAGCTCATCCATCATCTAGTTGTAGTCATCATAGGCCTAAGTGGGGCAGTCGTACCAACCAATATTGACCCCCTTCATCCATAGTCCAAACAGAAAGATAACAAGTGAGGTGATTAACATCTTCTTCCACCAACCAAATTTTTACCATTACCATTAGAAGGAGAAATGATTGGAGCAAAAGCATCATTAGGAACCGGATCATAGGGGGAGTCATTGCCCATGAGATAGATTGACATCTCTCATTGTTGCCTGAAAATCTCCAACAGCCTACTCATAGTTAATATACTTCTTGTATATAGCATTTCTGACCCTAAGAACTTGCTTACTGCACTCATGCAAGTCAGGTAAAATCCTAGAGGCTTCCCATAGAAAACCACATAGCAAGTTGACATTTCTATGAAAATAAATGTTGTTTTAGCCTTAATCAAATGTAATGCATGAAACTAGCCATGAGTGTGGAACTTGAAGATCTATGGTTTGTTATGAAACAAATCGTTGATCTCGAGTCCCTCACTAATGACCAAAGCAAAGATCGTGTTCAAATCAACAAGTATGACATCACAGCATTGTTACAAAAGATTGGCCTCACTTTTAGAATCGGTGGTGTAATTCAATGTCTATATCATTGGTGGCTGCCATACAAATAAAAAACTAGTAGAACAATAAGTTACAAACTGCAGGTGTAATGTAACAACTAAACAAGTGCAAATCCAATGTCATGGTTGCTTATGGAACCCTATTGTGCACATCCACTCACTACCATCAAAGACAAGAAAGAAGGGCTATTGCTAAGGGAATGTATGTGCACACATAGGGTTTGATGACATCATGAAAAACATCAAAGACCGTGTAAACAAGGCAAACCACCTCATGTATATGTTGTTTGCATCATAGGCCATATAGATTTCCCGAGCTTCACCAATCAAAAGAAATAAAACCAATAGTTCATAAGAGAATAAGGAACAATTGATCTCAAATAAAGTAGCCAACAGAGGACATGGCAGTGCCTTACAACATGATTGTTCTGCCCAACAGTTCTGGGCCCAGCAGTAGGAGATTACACATCAGAATCATAAATAGACATCAGCTTTGGCCATGGGACATAGCCATCCAACAGCAGCATCATAATTCATCTATGTTGCTACCACTGTATGGCTGAGTTTCATGTCCAAAGACTAGGTAACAGGCTGGGTATTAGGCTCATGCACAGGCTGGGTATCCCTGCCACATTGCATTACATATCCTATCCCTCCTAGTGGACATGGCAAAGGAATCTTGCAGACGATGAGCTCATGCACAAAATTCGGATATCAGTCGGTTTGGTGGCAACCAGATCCTCTGTCGCATAGCTTGGTCAAGGCCAAAGCCTAGGATTCAGTTGTGAAGAATGCAACATGCTATAACAAGCTTGACCTGTGTCTTGTAATGGTGGAATGGCTTTTTGTCTAAAATACAAAACATGTTCTTCAAAGCACAAAAAGCCCTCTCAACTATGACCCTAAGTGAGGAGTGTCTCAGGTTGAACAATTCCCTTGCATTGGTTGGGTAGTTTCTGCTGCCATACTCAGACAGATGGTACCTCACCCCCTGTAGGGAGGGAGGAAGCCAATGCGGGAAGCATATCTTGCATCTACAAGGTAGAATTTACCTACAAGTGCACCATAGATGCTCTTGGTGAATGTCTATGACATGGTAAGGATAAAAGTGTAGTGGACAGTTGGTTTCAGTTACCTTTAGGCACAATGAACCCATCATTTCTTTTAATGGCATCAGCAAGGATGAGGGCATCATGTGTTGAGCCCTCCCAGCCAGCCAGTACATATGTGAACTTGAGGTCAAAGTCCACAACAACCATCACATTCTGTGTGGGGGTTGATTTTCTACCCCTGAAATCCTGCTGCATGTGTCTAGGCACCCTTGCCAACACATGGGTGCCATCAATGGCACCAATACAGTCCTAAAAATTTATGTACGTGGGATAAGTGCATTGGTTGATACTTAGAGTGAGTTATGGTTTAACACTTAAAGTGACAGTTACTCGCATGTAAGGGTTCCATCTATGGCTCCCAAGGATCTTTGGATGAATGCCAGGTGTAGGAGGGTTAATCATTTCACTTCTAAGCTCACCAACAGCATATAAAAACTTTGTGAAAGTGCCTATGGACAGTCTCAATTGATCTCCTAAAGGCCTGGTGAACTACCCTAAACCTTTGGTTGTGTCCAACAACATGAAAGAACATTGCTACCTGCTCCTCAACTGTGCACCCAGCCTTTTCAGGTACAAGTCACCTATCTCTAAAAAGGTTACAAAGAGCAAACAAAGGAGCTCTGGCCATCCTTATCATGGATAGACACTCTGCATCTGTGGAGTTGAAAATGGCTTGCAAGGTCTGCTTCCGATGCTGCTCATCATCACTCCTAAGATGGTACAACAAAGGGTCTGGTTCTGGCCTGGACCTCCTAAGCCTAGTGACAACATAAGACACCATAACAACTACCAAGGCAGCAGCTTGATTGGCCATCAGCTCACGGTTTGGGTGGGATCCATCTACATGCATGAACATTCAAGACAAATATTGTTCAATTGACCTTGGCTGGCCTCAACATAGATGTGTCATCAGTCAACAAAAAAGTAGGCACGACTGCATGATAGAACTGCCTCCCAGTGCAATGGACATCATCATCGACCATAAGAACAGGTAAACAAATAGCATGAAACCATACTGAAGTCAGAACAAATGAACAGTTCAAGCCAAACCCTAAATCCAACATCGCATAACTAATCAACCGGCACTAACAGTTCAGATAAGCCACGAAGACAGGATCTTGTACAAATATACCGAAACCCTAGCATCATCCAAAGCAAATAGTATGGGGATTGGGGGTCGATTTCACCTCGAGGTGGTCGACGGAGGAAACGCGAAGCGCAAAACGGAGAAGAAGAAGACAAGGCGACGAAGAAGCAGATCCCGATGAAGAGGAAGCAGATCCGGTACATAGCACCACCACGCGCACCACCGGAACCGAGGAAAACGAAGGAAGAAGACGACCGCCTCCCGGAATCCTAGCTAGGAAGACGGTGCGGCGCCGCGTCCGACCAGATTCGTGGCGGGGGAACGGAGAGGAAGCTCGCCGAGGAAGAACGCCGCCATCGGACACCACACCTCA